TTCTGCGTGGAGCACTGGGTGTTATGCACAAACAATGAATCATGGAACACTGCATCAAAAACTAATGATGTAATGTATGGTGGTTAACATAACAAATTATTAAAAAAAATTAAAAAAAAAAGAATTAGGTATAGAGATATTTAAAAGAGATAAAAAAAAGAATTACTGTGATATGGTTCATGATTTTGGTCTACATTCAAAACTCACAAAGTCCTTTTATAGCACTAACACACTAATACGTACTAGACAGGATGCTGAAGTAGTAACTAGGCCTCCTTATCATTTTTTGGGACAGTTCTTGAAAACTACTTTAAAAATCAGATTATTGGGGTGCCTGGGTTGCTCAGTCGGTTGAGCAGGTGACTCTTGGTTTCGGCTCAGGTCATGATCTCAGGGTCTTGGGGTCAAGCCCCACATTGGGCTCCGTGCTCAGCATGGAGCCTGCTTAAGATTCTCTCTCCTTCTCCCTCTGCCCCTCCCTGCTCCTAAAAAATTAGATTATTAAAACAATCAAGTACCTTCTCTGTTTTAATTAGCAGCCTAGACTACTCTATGATTTAGCTGAATTTTATTAAACACTTATAATGTGTTAAGTGAAAATAGCTAACATTCAGTGAGGACTTTCTATGTGCTGGGCACTGTTCTAAAGTTTTAACATGTATGAGCTTGCTTTAATTCCCATTGTCAACTCTATACCCCTCATTTTGCAGGTGTGGTAAATGAGGCACAGGGAGGTTAAGTAATTTCCTCAAGGTCACATAGCTAGCAAGATTAAAGCCAGGATCCACATCTAGGAAGTCTAATTCCAAAGCCTGTGCTCATAACCACTACACCTTTCTATGCCATGTTTAAGAAAAGCTTCCAGGTACTAAAAAGGATCCAAAGGAGAAGACACATACACATAAGTTATTGCAAAAACAAGACAGATAGAGATAAACACTACAATGGAGGCATGAAGAAAAAAAGATAAATGAAGGAAGCAATGAGGCACTGATCCAAGTTGGGACCTAAAGGATGGACCGGACTTTTGACAAGTGCATACTGGAAGGGAGGGAGCTGTTGGTGAAAGGAACAGACAGAAGGAAAGCCCAGATGAGGAGGAATGTGGTATGTGCTTGTGATCCGTGAAGCTCTATGAGGAGGCCCCTATGCATGACTGCAGCATGAGGGCACGGGGGGTGGGGGGGCGGGGGGAGGAGAAAGGAGGCAGCAAAAGACCAGGGTAGACAACAAGGTAGACAGCCAAGGATATGGGTTGCTGGATGTATTAATACACACCATGTGTTACATATCACATATGTGTTATACGTCACCTATCACATATATGTCATGTATCATATATATATTTAGACATGTTAAAGTGTCCCTTACTGGTACTTGGGCAAAGACTCAGTTCGGTGCAAATCCACTATCTGTATCTAAACAGTTCTAAGACTTAAGTCACCACACCTTTGTTATACACCTATAGGAGTCCCAACCTTCATCAAATATTATGAACAAAGGATACTATTTTAAATTTCAGCAGATGCTTTTCATATCAGAATGTTAATAATCAAATCTATATTCTACATATGCTTATTCAACATAACTACACACCTTGAATGAAGGATTACCTGTCCACTGTTGATCTCTTGAAGATGCCGAATGGATGCATTTTTCAGAAGAGAAATAACTCTCCAAATAGGGTTGCCTCTTTTCCACCCAACCTTCAAATGGATATTTATAAGCTCAGTTAATACCATCAGGTATAAATGGCAACGATCCAGATCCGAAACCTAAAGACAAACAATAACAATTAAAACGCAGGGTCCATGATTTTTACCAAACTATGAGAGTTCAGACAGGAAAAAATGACCTTATTTAAACGTACTAAGGCAAGAATTGAGAGAAAAAGTCATTTCCTCCAAAAAGCCCTCCATGATATCCCCATGCAGAGCTAAGGACTCCCTTCTCCAAGCTTACACAGCGACTCTGCATTCAGCATAACTGCAGCACACGTCACAATTCACTCATCTGGCTCACGAATGTTCTACCAACTCTTGCATCCCAGGGCCAACAGATCATAAATAACAATTAGAGCGGTGACAACTGCCTTTGTTTTAGGCAGGTTATGATCCTCCATTCTTACTAGGAAGGTTACGGTCCCATTTTGCTAAGACAATGAATAAGTTCCGGAGAGGTCAAACAGCTCAGCCAGCATCTCAGAGCTGGTAAGTGGGAGAGACAGAATTAAACGCAGGTCTTTGCGACGCTGAATCACAGGGTTCAGTCCAGCGCTACCACCCACCAGCTCTGTGACCCAACCTCTGTCGGCCTCAGATTCCTTATCCACAAAATGGGGAGGGTAACATCTACCCACCACGGGGATGGATGCTAATTCTTTTCAAAGAATTGAGAAAGTCTGGTAAGTGGACTAGCCTTAGCATCAGTATACCAATTACCATATCCTTGGCAGACTTTTGGGACACCAGGAAGCACATGATTCCTGTATTTAATTGGTGCTCACGGAGCAAGCACGACATGTCAGGCACATAGCCAAGTGCCAGGACACGGCACAGATGGAGAGAAACCACCACAGGGCCTAGTGGAGACCGAACACCAGCTGTGCGAGTGAGGGATTAAGTGCCAGAGAGGATTCCTGAATGTGGGGCTCAGGAAGCTGGCGGGATGGTGGACCTTCCCGAGAAGGGAACGGCGAGGGGTGCAGTTCTGAATGGCTTAAGTGTGAGAAATGCAACTCAAGTGGTCCAAGAGCACGTGGGTGACGGAGCGGTGAGCTCGGGAGAGCCGCCGGCGGTGGAGACGGAGACATAGGGTCCCTGGCACAGCTGAAGCTGGGGGTGCAGCCCAGACTGCCCCACAGGAGGAACAGGAGAAGAGAAGAAGGGCCCGGGCCACGCTTTCTAAAGCTCCCATGTTCGAGGTTCTCTATGGAGAACGCACAATCGAAGGGAAGGTGGGGGTGATGGTGGAGAGACGGGGCCACCCCAGGGACGGCTGGTGTTTCGAGGGCAAAGTGGCTGATGTGTCCAGTGGGGCTGAGGAGTCACGAAAACCATGGATTGAGGGGCCCCTGGGTGGCTCAGTCGGTTAAGCGTCTGCCTTCGGCTCAGGTCATGATCCCAGGGTCCTGGGATCGAGCCCCACTTTGGGTTCCCTGCTCCACGGAAAGCCTGCTTCTCCCTCTCCCACTCCCCCTGCTCATGCTCGCTCTCTCTCAAAAAAAAAAAGAAAAGAAAACCATGGTTTGAAAAGTATCCATCAGGTTTATTTATGACAAAGGAGTCACTGACAGCTTGAGAGAGAGCCAGTTCTGGGCTTCAACAGAGGCAGAAACCAGGTGAGAATGGAGCTGTGGGGTGTGTTATAGATTCAGCTTATGGAGAGAAGGAAATTAGGAGCTGGAGGGACCAGGGAATAGAAAGAGTGGGTTCCTTGAGATGAGGGACTGTCAAAGCTGGTTCGGGGCTCATGAAAGAATCCAGGAGACACGGAGAGGCTGAGAATATGAGAAAGAAGGGGTGGGGGACCGTCAATAGTCAGGTCCTGGAGCAGATGCAAGAGGACACAGGCCAGACTCCCAAGGAGGCCGGAGATAGGTTCAGAGTCTGGGGGCTGCGCTCCCTGGGGGGCCGAGGGCAGACACCCCGGGTAGCAGCCCGTAGCAAGCACCAGGGCCCGTCCTCGCTCCCCAGTGCTGGGGCCTCTTGTTTGTAGCTTGAAATCAGCCACAGAAACAGATAAATACTACAAACCAGGGATTTCTTCTCCGAGAGCAGTCGTTAAACAAAATCACATGAACCCTTCCCCTTTTAAAAGCTATTTTTAGCAGCAAATTCCAAACAAAAAGAGTTATGTTCTATAATGGATACATGAAGGTTCATCATACTTCTGCGCGTGTCTGAAAATTCCCCTAAAAAAGGTAAGATAATACTGATGATAATAAAGTGATGTTGAAGCAAACAAACCAAGAGAGTTATTTCTTTATTAAATGCCTTCTTGGAAATGTAGGTATAGCAAAGCCACTATTAACAACTGCTTAGTAAGAAGACAGTTAACACTCCCCACTCCAGAGGGCTTTTTCTTCATAGTTTCCTTGCCTTCCTACCCTAACAGCTCAGGTCCTTCAGTATAGAGCTTGCCTTTCTGTATTTTCACACCTGCTCATGAGCCTATCAAACAAATGTACTTAAGTGAGTATTCTAATAAAAATAAAAATAAGTATATTTTCTCACTTTATTAACAATCTACTTATTCTAAAGCTTCAACATTTGTCCCTAGAGATTTCAACCAAAAAAAAAAAACAAACAAAAACTAGGAATAATAAGCATTTCTATAAGAATCAGCATTTTCAAAATACTCCGGAAGAAAAAGGAAAATTCTTTTTTCTTTCTTTTTTTTTTTTTAACTTCCAGTGCAGTTCACATGCAGGTTATATTAGTTTCAGGTGTTCTCATCTGTCCTAGAGGGAACAATGTAGTATGTGGGAAGTACAGACAGCAGAAAGGGACGCTCGCCTCAGACCGACTATTATCTACTCTGTGTTTCAGAATTGCTTATGGAGCTTTAGAAACAGACCCATACTGATACCTGGTCCTGCCCCAAACCTGCCAAATCCCACTCTCTGGACCCTAGAACCAGATACGCCTGAATACTCGAAGCACTCCAGTGAGGGCATACCATGTGGACCTCTCGGCCCCTGGGGAGCGGATGTATTATCTCCATTTTGTGGATGAGAAAGTGGAAGCTCAGAAGAGCTACATAACTCTCCCAAGGCCTCGGTTATGACATGGGTGGAACGGAACGAGGAGACTCTGAAGCTTAGAGCTTTTTCTGCTTCCTAAGGTGTCTTCTCCAGAAAGTATCACGTTAATTTTCTCAATTTCACACAGTGCCTGCAAGTAAGTAATCACTCAAATATTGATGAAAAGAATGGAAAGTTGCTCCCGTGAGTACTTACACTACTTAGTTCATTCATAGTAAGCCGTCGGAGGATAAATTCGGAAACACTCTCGGTGGTAGACATGACAAAGCTCTGAAGAAATGTAAACACCTCATCTGTATGGGAGAAAAAAGTGTGTAACTGAAATGACAGAAATATAAGTTCCTTGGTACAAAACATGCCAGATTTTCTAGTAAAAGTGCAACTATGTTAAGCATCTGGGTGCATCACTTACCAAAAATGAATTCCAATAACGTAACAGTCATTAGTACCATGGGGCAATCTATAATTCAGGAGTTTTAGTTCTGGGTAAGATGGAACAGGGGCACACCAGCCTCTCTCACTATAAAACCTGGACAGAATATCTGAGCATCTATGTGGGGACCCTAAAACGTAAAAAGCAGCAGACGGATTCAGAAAGCATTAACACCCAACAGACTGAAACCACGCACAGGAGCAGTCAAGAAAGTGTGCAGCACGATGGGCCCCGACTTCTGACCAGAGAGTGGAAAAGGGGAACCCCAGAAAAGCAGACAATAAGTCCTTAGGAGGTTCCAGAGGGGGAGGCGCTCAGGGAAATGGCCCCAGAACATGGTTTGTGAACTGCTGGGCTCACCCCGCGCGGCTATGCATGGACCTGCGAGTGAGCAGCATCCCAAAGACCTTCTGAACTGAACTAACAGAGAGACAGCCACCCAGGTCGCAGACTGCCCACCGGGTGGATCACGTGTGGGGCAGGTGAAGACAGCACCACAACGCTGACAGTGGAACCAACAGGCACAGAAACTGGAACGTCAGGAATTAAGGGCTAACCCTAAGCCGACCGTCTGCTTACACAAGATTATCAACATTCTCCACAGGATTTAAACAAGACCCAGAGCCTCATAATATAATACTAAAAATATCTAGGATTCTATCCAAAATAACATGGCACATGAAGCATCAGGAAATTCCTAGCTCACAAGGGAAAAGACAATCTTTCAATGCCAACAATGAGATGATGTTGACTCCAGAAAAACCTGACAAGGACTCCAAACAGCTAATGATAAAAATGCTTCAACAATCAATCAACACATCCTCTTGAAACATACGGGAAAATAGAAAGTCTCAGCAAAGAAACATAAGATACACCCAAAAACCATATAGGAATTTTATAACTGAAAAGTATAAGTACTGAAATTTGAAGAACTCACTGGATGGAAACAGTAACAGAAAGAAGAAGCACAAGGAAGGAGTCAGTGAACTTGAAAACAGATCAATAAAATAAAATAAATCATATGCAATATGACAAGTATAATCAAACTGCTGAAAACTAAAGACAAACAATCTTGAAAGCAGAGAAAAACAGCATATTACCTAGGTGAAGAACACACCGAATTACTACAGAATTCTAATGAGAAACCATGGCAGCCAGAAGCAAATGGAATACGTTTAAATTGCTGAAAGAAAAGACCCGTCAAACCAGAATTTTATATCCAGTGAAAATATTCCTCAGAAGGTGAAATAAAGACATTCTCAGATGAAGGAAAACTAAGAGAATTCACTGCCAGCAACCCTGTTCCAAAGGAAATGCTAAAAGCTGTTCTTCAAACACAAGGCATATGATGCCCCAGGAAAACATGGGACGTCAGGGATGAAAGAAAAGCAAAAGAAACTGCAAACATCCAGGTAAATGCAGTAGGTTCTTCTCTTGTGATTTTTAAAATCTCTTTAATGGTTGAAAGCAAAAATGGTAACACTGTCTGGTAGTTATCAACAAATGTAGATATAAGACAACTATAATACAGGGGGGGAAGGGCAAAGGAGTCCATAGGGTCGTAAAGTTTCTACATTAATTTCACATGGTAAAACATTAACTCTAAATAGACTGAAAAGTTAAGTGTGAATACAGTAGTCCCTAAAGCAATCACAAACACACACACACACACACACACACGGACACACACACACAGAATATTAGATATTTAGTAAAAAACACAATAGTAAAAAACACAATAGGTAAATTAAAATGGAATATGAAAAAATGTTCAAACTGCCCAAAACAAGCCAAAAGAGGGAAAGACAGAAATGAAAAACAGAGGGAATAGGGAATAAACAGAATACAAAAAAATAAAGACTGAAATCAAAACATATATGTAATTATATTAAATGCAAATAGTCTACACCAATTAAAAGACAGTGTCAGAATGGATAAAAAATCATGACCCAACTATATGGTGTCTATAAGAAATTTGCTTCAAATATAACAATCTAAATAGAATAAAAATAAAAAGCCAGGAAATACTACTATGCAAATCCTAATCAAAAGAAAATAAGAGTGGTTATATTACTACTAGACAAACCAGACTTCAGAGTAGAGAAAATAACCAGGGATAAAAAGGGACACTGCATAACAAGGAAAGAGTCACCTCAACAAGAAAATGCACTATCCTGAACACATAGGCACCTAACAACAGAACTGCAAAACATGAAGCCAAAATAATAGAACTAGAAAGAGACATAAACCCAAACTCTGAGTTAGAGACTTCAACACTTCTCTCTTAGTAACAGAGTAAACAAAAAACAGCAAGGACATAAAACTGAAAAATAGCATGAAAATCCTGGATCTGATATTTAGAGGACACTCCACCCAACAACAGAATACACATTCTTTCCAAGTTGCACATGGAACAGTACGCAAGACAGACCATACCCTAGATCATAAACAAACCTTAATGAAGTTTCAAAAACAAACTGTACAAAGTATGCTCTCTGACTAGAACAGAGTTGAATTAAAAATAACAAAGATAACAAGAAAATCCCCAAACACACTTCTAAGTAATTCATGAGTAAAAGAGAGTGTCTCAAGAAAAGTCAGAAAATACTCTGAACGGAAATACAACATATCAAAAGTTTTTGGATGCAATTAAAGCAAAACTTAAAAAAATTTATAGCACTAGAGGTCATTTTCAAAAAGAAGTTCTAAAATCAACAACCTGAACTTCCACCTTAACTTTTTTAAAAAGGCAAAATAAACCAAAAGCAAGCAGACAGAAGCAAACAAAAAAACAGAAATCAATGAAATTGAAAAAAAGAAAAATCGAGAGAAAAAAAAATCAATGAAATCAAAAGCTGGTGTTTTGAAAAGGTCAGTAAAATTGATAAACCACTAGCCAGTCTTAGGAGAGGCAGAGATAGAGAGGATCCAAATTATCACAGACCCCAGATGCTGCACACATTAAAAGGAGAAGGGATTACCATGGGCCATGGACAACTTTGGACATATAAATGTTCCCATTCACAAATGCCATGATTGTCTATAAAGAAAAATCCCAAGCATTCTATTTAAAAAAACAAAAAACAAAAACCCCCCTCATAACTAATAAGTGCTTCAGTGAGGTCAGGGGATACCAAGGTCAACACACAAAAACCAATCACATTTCTGTATACTGGCAATACACAACTGAAAACCAAAATTTTAAAAAATTCATCACTTACAATAGCTTCCCCCAAAAGACATACTTGGGCACAAATCTAACAAAACCTGTACAGGATCTATATGCTGAAAACTAAAAAGCTCTGATGAAAAAAATCAAAGACAGCCTAAGTAAATCAAGAGACACATTATATTCATGGACTAAAAGTCTCAAAATAATAAAGGCAATTCTCCATAAATTGATCTACAGATTTAATGCAATTCCAGTCAAAATTCCAGCAGGATTTTTTTTTTTTGTAAATACAAGCTGATTATAATGTTTATATGGAAAGGCAAAGGAACTAGAATAGCTAGAAATAAGAATTTGGAAAGAAGCATCCTACCTATTTAAAGAGTTACTGTAAATCTACAGTAACCAAAACAGTGTGGTATTGGTGACGGGATAAACATATAGATCAACAGAAGAGACTCCAGAAGTCGATCCACACAAATATGGCCAATTAATTATTTTTAAACAACTTTATTGATATAATTCATGTAACATCATTTACCCATTAAAAGCGTGTAATTCAATGGTATCTAGTACAGTCACAGGTATGTGCAACCATCACCATAGGCCAACTTTTTAGAACACTTTCATCACCACAAAGAGAAACCCCATCCCCTTTGACCACCACCTTCATAAGCCCATCCCCCCAACCCCTGCCCTACACAATCACTAATCTACTTTCTGTCTCAGATCTGCCTATTTTGGACATGTCATATAAATGGAATTATATAATACATGGTCTTTTGTGACTGCTTCTTTCACTTAACATGTTTTCAAAGTCCATCCATGTTGTAGCGGGTATCAGTAATTCATTCCTTTTCACAGCCAAATATAGATACATCACATCGTTTATCCATTCATCCATCCATTTTGGATTATTTCTGCCATGCCCAATTTTTTTTTTTTTACAACAGTACAAAACAACAGAGGATAGTCTCATCAACAAATAATGCTGAACAACTGGATATCCACAGGCAAAACAAAACAACAAAACCTCAACCTAAACCTTACACCTTAAAAATTAACTCAAAATGTATCATAAATCCAAAAATAAAAAACGATAAAATATTTAGAAGAATTTCCTAAACATGATACCTAATGCACAATCCATAAAACAAAAGAAAAAAGCAAACCGGACTTCATCAAAATGAAAACTTGTGCTCTACAAGGGAGAGACACTTAAGAAACTGAAAAGCCAAGCTAGATTGGGAGAAACTATTTGTAAATCACATATCCAACAAAGAACTTGTATCCAGATTATATCATGAATTCTCATTATATACATTTCATACAAGTGTATATGAAAACAAATAACTCAATTTTAAAATAGATAAAAGATTTGAACACTTTGCAAAATGTGGTATCTATCACTCTTAGAAATGTTCACTTTTTTTTAAAGATCACATAGCATTAAAAATTACAGAATTAATTTAAAATGTTCACGTTACTTATTATAGAGACAATACTATCTGGCCTCTGAAATAGCTCATAAATCACTTGTCAGGTCAAGAAGCCATGAGCAAATGGTTGAAAGGTAAAGTTTTGTTTTTTGTTTTTGTTTTTTTTTTAAGATTTATTTGACAGAGAGAGCAAGCACAAGCAAGGGGAGCAGGAGAGGGAGAAGCAGGCTCCCCACCAAGCAGGGAGCCCGA